TGCGCGCCGCCCGCCCGCTTCCCTCCCCGCCAGCCTCCCTCTGCCGCCGCCGGTGCCGCCGCCACAGCCCGCCAGCTAGTGCAGCACAGCGACCCCCGAGGGCCGGCCGCGGCACTGCGCCTGGCTCCACACCGCCCCGGCAGCTCCTCGCGGGGAACAATAGACTCGGCTCGCCGGGCTTAGGGTTCATCTGCAATGTGCCGCACATTTCACACGCACACAAAGCCTGAGGAAAGGGGGGCGGCGCGGGGAAACGGCCACTACCGGTTGTTCCAGGGTAAGGGGTGGAGGCGATGTTCGCGTCCCCGGCCCGGCGAGTGGAAGGGCCGCCACGGAGTCCCCGCCCGCCCCACAAAACCGGCGTGGCGCCGGAGGGGCAGTTCCTTCAGCTGTGCCACAGTCCCCGAGCGGAATAAAGCCAATGCCTTACCTTTTTAGGGTTGTTTTAGGTTTAAGGGATTCGCTTTTTCTGAGCCTTATGGTAGTATTTTGGGGCCTAATTAGCACATTTTCCATGAATTATCCACAAGCTAACTTTAACAAACTATACACTAAATGCAGTGTGAACTGTCCTAGTTCTGCAGAAACAGAGTAATGCTCTTAATACATCTTGCCTTTGGTGGGTTTCACGTATCAAGCTGGATTATTCTATGGCCAAAGTTATGCAAACAGTAATTAAACTAGTTGGGAAGCAATCTGTCGAACTTTGACAATAATAATTAACGTGTATATTTTTATAGTAAGTTATCTTAGACTGCTGCGTTTAGAGTATCGAATAAAACCTATTTTTCCTTGTTTTCTCCCAAATGTCTTACGTGTGATCCTTGTGTAAAGTATTTTTGAAGGTTAAAAAGAAAAGATTAGTTTAAATGGGAGATACAAAACATCTCAACAAACATTATGGCCCAAGTTTACATTTATAAGGGGTATTGGAGCCGGCCCTTGGCCACAAATGATATAATTAAGCTTACAGTCTGCGAAGCCTGTTATTACTATTTTAGTGAGGGCCACGACGGGCAAAGTCACTAACACAAGGTCACAGGGGAGTAAGGGTCTGAATGGGTTATCATTTCAGGTAGTCATTCCAATGGGAACGTTTATTCGGTGAAAAATTATGCAAGATAGCCCAGCGTGCTTCCGGTGCTCACTCTAGGAAACAGATTCATTTCCCAACTAAAGTTTTTCTCTTAAATGGGGTCAAGTCTGACTAAGGCTGCAGCTAGCAAGTTCCTGACACCCCGGGGCCAGTGAGTGTCTCAGAAACCGGTGAGGGGCGGAGACCCGGCCGCGGGAGGTGGAGAAGCTGGGCCCCGGCGGGAGACCAGGGGAGGTGGTTGGAGGGAGGCCGGTCAGCTATCCCTTCCCCCACCGGTCCTCTTAGGGGGTGTGGAGATGTGGGCCGCAGAGCTGCGTGGCCCGGGCTGTGCGGATTCCCTGAACGCCGCACTTGCGCACAGCCCCTTACGTAACCGTCAGTGCCGGGGATTCCCTAGAGGGGGTCATTCTATTCAACCATTACACACACCCCGGGCTCTGCCGCCGTGCCGCCGCCGCGGCCGCCTCACAAAATGGCGGCGCCCATAGAGGAGACAGCAGCCGGCTCCTCGGCCCCATTTTGTAGGAGGCGAGAGATCTGTCGACGTGGGATAGCTCTGCTAAGGATGTCTTCGAGTCTGGAAATCCTTCTTAAGGGATGGAGCCTAGGGGACCCCAGTATATGGAAAATGTCAACGACTTTTAGCACGTCCATGCTCTTTCACTTTTTCATTTTCTCGAAGGAAGTGCCAGAAGCCGCCGGAATCCTTGTAACTAAGGGGAGAAGGGACAGCAGAGGCTGACTGCGCCCGGGACTTGCCGCGACGCCGCGGTGGCTTTGGTTGCACCTCCGGGCTCCGTGCAGCGGGCCGGGACGTCGCCGAGGCTTGCCTGGGCGGCCTCCGCCACACCACCGGTGCAGTGAGACTTTCGGTCGTTTTTAAATGCCGCAGTCCACAACCCTGTGGTCTGGATGGTGGGCTTCGGGAGCTCCGAGGCCCCTGCCCCGGGGAGTCTCGGTGGAACGGGCGCCGGGGGTACCCGCGGATTCCCCCGGCCCTGCAGGCCCGCGGTCGGGGCCGGGTTGGCGCGGGGCTGGAGTGGGACCGCAGGCACGTACGCTGAAATTGAAGTCGTCCGAGTGAGACGCGGGATTGTAGGTTAATGTGTTTCAAGTTAGCTGTTAGAACGTCTTTCCTAGTTTTCCAGTCTGTAGTGGGCAGAAATGGAAAGGCAGAATGGAGAGGTGACATAATTTTACTTTTCCAGGGGAGGTTCCCACTTTTGAGTCAGCTGGTGTACTGTGTGTGTATACACACACACGCATAGACAGGAGCGTCTTGCTTTTTAGGGCAAGTATTAAAGGCTTAAGGCTTGAAATGATACTAAAGCCTTTTTTAAAAAAATTTAAGATGTGATGTGGAAATGAAGAATTGTCTTTAAAAAATTACTTTTCTGTAGAAGAGGCGATCTTTGAATATGGAGTCCTAAAATATATCTGATGGCAGATTTTAAATCCTTAACACTTTTGGTATGTTATAGTCAAAGTAAAAGCATAAACGTGAAACTTAATGTTAGATTACTTACCCGGTTGAATTTACTCGTGATTAGAAAATTGTAAGACGAAAGTAAGCTGTTAACGACGTACTCTTGTAAGAGTAATCCAAAGTTTAAGACAAGATGAGATTCATCTTTTGAAATGCATGCATTACAGGAACAATTGATTTTTAAGTGTACTTTGCTAGTTGAGGCAATCATTTGTGTTTACATGACTTTTTCTTTTTGAGTTGTTTTGTTTTCTTTATTTTAACCTTCATATTTTCTCTACTGCAGAAGTGCAGCTTTATGCTGGCTGTGCCTCAATCGCTGAATTCCACAATCTATCCCTGCCAGAGCTGGTTGCTACTGCTGGTGTGTGGA